ACATATCTGCTTATTTCAATACACTTATCACCGGAACAAACTTTGTTCACAAAGGTTGATTGCTTCAAGTTGTTTAATCTACTATTTTTAATTTAATTTTCACATTTGAAAGCGTATTGTACGGAAAAAAATTTGACTGAATTGAGAAATGTTATCCAATTTTATCAACATGCTTTTCACACCTATGAAATACGAATTTGTTTACGAATTCGTTTGTGGATATGCTAATCCAAGTTAAAATTTTGCTCTATATATATGTATTGAATTATGTTTCAGGAAAGTAACGTTGTCGCATAATGCCCAAATCAGAAAAATAATACAAAAAATAACAAGGACGTACAAGAGAAATTTGGTCTGATCTTTGTTTGTCCTTACTTACAATTAAAGTGCGGCTGTCGGTCAGATTTGTATCCAAGCTTGGAAAAAATTGCTGGGTTCTTAGCGGCAATTCGTAGACCGACAATAGTGGTGCCAATTAAGTACAGGGAAGATCTGCTATTTGGTATCATCCGTCGAAACGGGATTATACATATAGCCCTTATGATGTTAAATTTTCTAACTTTTGTAGGAAAAGACTTGAAAATTTTAGAATTAGCGAAAAACTTTATAGAATAGAAATAAGATATTGTGAAAAATCTACATTCATTCCGAATTACTTTGTCCATCTTCGTTGAACGTTTGGCCTTCAGCCAACTCATGAAGCGTGCTATACTATACTAATATTATAGCCATTGATCGAGGCTCAGTGTACTCAGTGTAAAAAGTTTTTTGATCAATAAATCCATAGACACTATTGAGAAATTAAGGTGAATCGTTTTGTGTATCAGACACATGACAGTCAGAAAGTAGGTCAATAGATTTCTATTCTCAACAAATAGGAAATTATGTTGTCAACAATTATTGCTCCTATGTTTAGCAGCAATGTGATATTCAACCATTTGTGAAGAACTGAAGTAATGTTGGCGGCAGATTGTACCAATCGAATTGATATCTTCGTCTAAAAAAATGGAAAAAGGTATAAATAAGTCGTTGAACTATATAGTAACTAATATTTTTATCATTTTTCAACCGCACCAACTCTCTTAATTATTCCAAAGCATTTTAATTCAATGGAGTAAACGCGAGAAAGAATCGCTGAATGTGACATAATAGGTTCAAAAAAGGCATAAACTAGGTTCAACGAGGTTCAACTAATAGTTGAACCTAGTCGTGGGTGACCCCATAATAGTTCAACTAGGTTCAACTAGGACAGCGGCATAAACCTTGGACCGCAGACACCGTGAGGGCGAATCGGACTTTCTGAGTCGACTCGACAGGAGTTAATTCGATGCACGCTTCTGGAGACTAATGCGGAAACGAAGGTTATAGACACGTGTTATGGGAGCTAAATGCATTGTGGAAAAAAAAACAACTTTTCATCAGGGAGGATCTTGGAACAAAGGAATACGAATAGGCGGGCTTAATTATAAGGCGAAGATTGGTTGTTTGTAAATCGAACTCTTCAATCCGTTGCATGTAGCTCCTCAGAGAAAAAGCTTTGGCTCGCATTAGTTCCTACGGCATGTTATGGAATTCTTCGGCGTTGAAAGTTTGTAAACTGCATTACCAAAATGTCTAACGTTTTCAACGCAAATAATGCGTTGTCTGACTCCATCACGTCTGCTGAACAGCTATAAGCTAGTGTGCTGAGTGACTCCTCTCGCTGAGCATTCAGTTTAATTTCAACCTCTTTAGTTAAATGTGAACCTCTCAACACAAACACCAGCGAACAGTATTGTAATATTAATGACATCTCCAAGCAAATCGGCAATATCGGAAACATCGATTCGAATAATTACGATAGAGATAAAATAACATCGATATCAGAACATTTCGACCTCGCTATACATAATAAAATTGATACAATAAATTTAAAGAAGCTATCTTAATTACTCCTGATCTACGCTCCGATTATAGGCGATTTATTTAATATTCTTCAAGGGTCATCGACGAACGTCCTGATCTGCATTCAGCAGGCTTTATCTTCTATATGTTTGTTAGAGCACTGAACACCAATTCGTCTGATATTACAAAGGCAACTAGCTATATTAGGTCACAGAAATAACCTCAATGAAGTTAGAATCATCGATGGTAATTCAGCCGTTTTATCTTGGATCAGCAGTGGTGCAGGCCGAACGCTCCAAAAATCCCTCCATGAGTTTTTACTCTCGATGAAAATCATGAAAGAGAACATCTAATTTCCAGAAGTGATTGATTGGGTTGTTGAATTTTTATGGTTCTATGCGGAAAATTTCTGGTTCAGTCTAGTAATTAGTGTTTAGATCAAATTTTCTCCATAATGGCAGATATAAATGAATCAACTAACATAATTTTGATTATCAGCAGGAATTTAAAAGCGTAGACAATACCACAAAAATTCACCATATCTTTATAAGAGAAAACGTTTCGGAGTCCAGCTTCATCGTCAGTTCATAACACAAAATTCTGTTCAGAAAAAGTTCAGCGCTAGAAACACAAATAAATCAATTAGTAAAGTAAAATGCACTGTCAGGTTTCAAAACGGAAAATAAATAAATAAGACATGAAATTAACGCTAGTAAACGGCCAATCTATTTATTATTTCAAGAGGAAAGAAGCTAAATGCGGCATTCAGACTAAGCTTCTGTTTGAATATATACAGGGATTCTAAAATTCATCGATCACTAACACCGGATGCGGAAGCTAGAATTTTGAAATCACTATCAGATACAGAGGTGTTGCACTGCTCAGCATGAACACGTACAGCAGAATGAGGTGGATGTGCAAGTAGGTTCCCGTTGCAGTGTAGACCTGCAGTGATGCTACGTAGACCTGCAGTGAGAGCGCCATTGGAAGCTTGGCGATGTTTAATTTCTGTAACTATAATGCAGCGTTCGTAAGAGTACCAGAATGCCGGTCCTGATGCGACTTTGTCGATGAGGAGGACGCGACTGAGCTGATTCTCTTGACCATGGGTTATGAGAATCAACATGAGGAGCTGTTATGTGTACTTTGTCAGGCGAAAGAGACCAGGAAAATTTATTTTCAATGTTTTCTTAAATCTGTTTGACTTTATTCATCGCGTTGATGGAAGCAACTAATTCACAGCCTCCCATGTATACCTTGAGCTTTAGAATGAAATAGTAAACCATGAGACGTACATCATTTGGTCTAAAGACCCGTTTTACCGCATTAATGGAATTAATGGAAAAAGGTTGTTGATTAAATAATATGAAAAATACCCTGCGTGTCCCAAAGGAAGTTAAAGGATGTGTATTTAATTTAATGATTTTGCGTAGCGAATTGGCGAAGTCGAAACGATGCAATTAATTCAGTGCAGACTGAGCGCCAGCAATCGTCCATGCGCCCGCTCTTGAGTCGAAGCGGTTGTATTGTGAAATCTGGTAATATTTCCACACAACTAATTTCAATATCACTTTTCTGTGGTTTACAATTATTGTTAATGTGAATTTTGTCAGAGAATCAACTTTCATAGAGGGGAAGATGAAAAGTATTATATCGCTTAGATTGATTAAATCGACTTATAGATAAATTTAAAGAATAGAATATGTAATCATGTTTGCTTCTAGGTAGATTATATAAGTATGTACTATATTACGTATATGTTATTATGTTTTAATATATTATAATTATTATCTTATTGCGATGTAAATGCAGGTAAATAAGAGGCAGTTGAAGAGCAAACATTCAATATTGGTAACATCAAGCACAGCCAACGATATTAGCCTTATTTTCATCGATTCTTGTAGCCTTTACCGTAAGCTTAATTTAATGCTACCTTTTGAATATTAACATTCAATACGCGTCAAAATATAGCTCACATTTTTGCTCGTATATTTTACACAGATGTTAACGAATATGTGTACACGAATATTGAGATGCGTGACACTTTATGACTCAGTGGATAAAGTGAATCGTAACTGAGACATCTGATTGCGACATTTCTTCAACGATTTATCTCAGTGGGTCACACTTGACACACTTCTTCAGCAGTTAGTGTAGGTATATATATTGTACATGTAATATAAATTTGTAACATTCATTTAATTATTAAACATTTATGTAAATTTTCCAATTTGTAGGTAATGATTAGCTTACTTGTTTGAAACTTGAAAAAGTTGTATCCAATTTTGTGAATATCTCTCACCGTGAAATTATTGGAAATTCATTTTATAAATGAACAATATTGATTAATTTGGCAAGGAAGCATGAATAACCAGAAATGAATAACAAGAGATTCATCACTAACATGAATTAACACTTAACAGTGTTAAATGATCACTGCTCATGAACAGTACATTGAACACTTAAGCCCTCTGCCATACTTCTATGCATGGCGCTATCATGGCGGAACTAACATTAATACATAAAAATATCGTCAATGATAGAATGATATCTATAATAATGTTACTTGGACTATGTGACGTCGTGTTGACATCGCCCTGGTATTATTAACAATAATTTATTTGAACTTAACATGTAATCAAGTGGCATTAACGTATCAACGCTCAACACGTATCAAAACAGACTAGACGAAGCTATGCAGGAGCATATGTTCAGTCTTAAAATGCCTAGCAAATTACGGACCAGGCAATAAGTCCAACAGCTATCTCAATCAATCGTCAGCTATGGAAAGATCGGGTTCCAAAGGCCGGATCCTTGTGAATCAAGTCACGAAAAATTCAAGAATCGGCAACAGGCCATGGGCCTATTTCTTCAACGCCGACATTTCTATTCTATTCTAATACCCCTGCTTTTTAGGAAATATTTGCTTCCGAAATTTGCGTAGAATGAAATAGAAGCTTTGAAACAAGTAAAAAGTTATTCCTTTACGTTGAGATCACCTTTGTTCATATAATACGCGGGCGTTCACACCCCCAACACCAGCGTTCACACCCCCAACACCGGCGTTCACACCCCAACACCAGCGTTCACACCCCAACACCAGCGTTCATAAATAATGGCCTATAATATAATACTGAAAAAATAAGAACAAGAAGAAATCCCAGTTTACAGTTGAAAAAATCGAGGGCATTAACCCCATCAGACAAAAACTGGTTCCTCTCCCCCCGGGTTGGGGATTTGGGGAAGATGATCCCACTCGTAACCCTCGTAGGGGGTGAGGGTAGAAGAGGGGAGCAGGGGCTCCTCCTGAGGGGGGCGGTGCCCTCCCTCTCAGGCAGTCGTTTCGCCGGGGTTGCGACGCGGGAACGACAGCGGCGTCATGGCGCTGCTGTCGCCCGTCTGGAAAACACGATTATTTATTATTTATTAATTATTAACTCAAGTTAATTGTTCTATGTAGTAATTTCAGTTACACTATAAACGTGAAAATGTGCTTAATACAAGGTTTTAAGTTTATTTGGAGAACAAATGTCAGTTAAAATTAAATAAGTTCAACAGTTGAAAGTTAACATTCAAGTTAACAGTTAACAGTAAAGTTCACCATGTTGCAGATAACTTCCTTGCAACGGGCTTATTTTGGCTAGGGCTTGTGCATAGAATTATAGATAAATGAAACATATAGATGAAATATAAAACGGCGAATTGCCAACAGAGACGGTTTACTGAAGATCCACTGAAAGTTGAGCTAGAGTTATATACAGTTATATGCCGACTGATCGAGGTCTAAACAAAGGTTAATCTAAAGTTGGTTATTGTTAATTATTTGAGAACTGATCACTTAATTAAGTCGCTCGTAACTCCAATCCTGAAATTAAATTGACTGTCTGCACTTATTCCCGCTTATTCATATATTTTTTTAATCTACAGAACTTTTTTTTTAAATTTGTCAGCATAGAAAAAATCGGTAAATTTGATAAATCAATGTTTATCTCGGAGGACCATTTAGCAAATCCTGTTAATACAACGTGCATATTTCTACACTTATCGCCGTCACAGTGTTGTGCGAGCATCATATTCTCTTGACTCCTTGGTAGAGCTGACTTTTTAACAACCGACATTGTTGGCGTACATTTTTCAGATTAAAAAGTAATTAAAAGCGAACAATCCTAACTAACGACACCTGAGTAGTTAACCCGTTCTATATAAGAGAGTAGTTAACCCGTTTAAAGGTTACGAATAGGTGCTTTGTGATGAAATGAAAACGATCATCGACGGTAAAAGCCAAAAATGAATTGGGTCCGATAGACCGGTGGTCACCTGAAAACCTACCGTTGTTTTAACCAACATAATGATAGATATTAAGGGCCGTGCGATTCAAACGCGCTAAGTACACGTAACGGCCCATAGGCCATAAGTACACGTAACGGCCTATAGGCCATAAGTACACGTAACGGCCTATAGGTCATAAGTACACGTAACGGCCTATAGGCCATAAGTACACGTAACGGCCTATAGGCCATGAGTATACGTAACGGCCTATAGGCCATAAGTACACGTAACGGCCTATAGGCCATAAGTACACGTAACGGCCTATAGGCCATGAGTATACGTAACGGCCTATAGGCCATAAGTACACGTATATAGGCCATAAGTACACGTATAAGCAAAATAACCAAAAGCGGAAAGCTCACAACGAAACATTCACCGCGTGACGTTGGTGAGCATCATCATACAGTGGCCCGATGCTTCGAGACTCGATAGCGGAGGCTCTCATCATCAAAGACGAGTCTCCTGCTATCAATTTGCAAACCAAAGGAATTGTCAGGACGCTAAAATTGTTCCCGAAGCAATTTTAAGTTATGATTTCGAACCGAATCTACGATACCTCTTGTTCGTACTTATGTCATTTCCAAATCTCAAGTGTTGTAAAACTCTTCACCTACTTTGGAATGAATATTGAATATTCCAAGCGTCGTATTTCAGCAAAAGATCTTTCGGTAACTTGCTTATCGATCTCTCAATACCAGCAAGAAATTTTGTTCGATCTATTGAAAAAGAATTAATAAAAAGCATGCTCTGGTCTTCAAGAAAACCTGCATAAATGTCTTTGTCCACGTATTGGCCTAACTTTACGAAGCGACCGATTTCTCGTCTGTTATCAACTGGTCTATCATGAAAATACAAATAAGTCTCACTATTTTTCTTAATACGGAGTAAGGTTGAAATTCGAACAATATCGAGGTTATATCTCGGGCACTCCCCTTCTGTGGAATGCCTAGATTTACAGCGCAGATCTAAATGTTGTATTTAAATCCTCACTCCAATGCTTTCTTCATTCCTCCTGTCGTTACCTCGCCCCACCTTGCCCCCTCTTCTCCCTCACCTCACATTGCCTCCTCTTTCTACTCGTCCTACATTGCCCCTTTTTTCTCCTCGCCCCATCTTAACATACGCCACACTTTGTTTATCATGTCAGGTCGTGATGTCATTAGTGACCCTTACGTCACCTTCTGTGATGTCACTACTCGCGGGTCACCGCGTATATAAGCTCGGTAAGCCGACTGCCAGTCAGTCTTAGTCTTAAAAGAGCCTCAGGCAGACAGCCTTCAGCTGCAGTCATGCAGTTAACTCTAGACGAGCTCACATCGTCTTAGACTCCGGCACTCGCAGCCAACACGCAGTGTCGTTAAACTTTATCTACTGTATCCTGTAACTTCTACCTAGTATATCCTGTAAACCTATCTCTAATATTTACGCTTAGATACACGACTTGTTATTATCCTTCCCTGGCCAATGAAGTTATTCGGACAATTATAAACGAACCAAAACCCCTCAGGTTTTTCTACTCTTGATTAGTAGATCAGACAGATCCTCCAGATCTGNGAGGCGTCCCAACAACCCCCTCTCCTCCCTCACCCCACCTTGCCCCCGCTTCCCCCTCGCCCCACCTTGTCCCTCCTGAGGCGTCCCAACAGCCCCCGGGGGCGGGACACCAACACGTCCTCCTCCTCCTCATCGTCGAGGGCGCACGACTCCGCGGGGGGCAGCTCCATCTCCCCATCCTGGGGGAGTGCGAGGGGAATGCGAGAGATCCATGGGATATAACGTAGTCTATATATTTGTAAAACTTAACCTGTATGAGGTAATTATAAGGCATATAAATAACAACAATATAATCAAGAAGTACACATATGATCTATAGAATAAAAAACAGGACAAAAGGCACACTAACTTTAGAAAAAATACGAAAAACACTCTATACATTTGGACAACCAATAATTTCATTTGTAAGCCAACAATAAAGCAATAATATTATTCTCAATGAATCCGGGTACTAAAACATGTAGGTATCAAAAACACAGCAACAGAACCTACACATGTATATAAAGCTATGTAAAAATGGATCACGAAAAATAACATGCGTAAGAAAATAGAAATTAATGATCAAATCTGGCAACAGAGGAACGAAATATGAGAAATATAATGGAGAGCAAACGATTCAGACACCGAGTAACAGCGAGCAGTCACTTGCACTCGAGACGAAATTTACAAAAAAAAATTTTTTTCGGGTGGCGCGCCTTGAACTAAAAAAAATTGCGCACCTTGAAAGAACAAGAGCACTAGACAACAAGAGCCTATACAGAAAAAAATTAATGGGTTAAAGTGTCCAAAAAGCAACACACCTTCCTACACACAGCACGAGCAAAGAACGAACGTAGCACTGATACTAACCTATGTGCGTAGAGTCAGGTCCCCACACAAAAACAATAGGTGCATCGCTATTATGACAAAATCTCACACATTTCTCTGGTTGCACGTAAGGTAAGTCCTATATGGTAAGAACCCAATATAGGATAATCCTATGGTAATGACACAATCCTATGGTAAGTCCTATGGTAAGGACCCAATGCAGGACCTACCTTGGAGGAGGCGCTGGCGACGAGTTGTACTGTGCTGTACCATAATGTTATATGCTGTACTGCGCTGTACTATGGCACGGTTGTATGCTTTACTATGTTGCATCGTGCTACTGTGCAACACCTGCACTCCCGTGTCCAGTTTAAAAGCTATCGACGACGTGTATGGGAACGAATTACATTGATAAAGCAAGTAAAGTATTTCCTGTATATGGTATTAGAAATTATTTGTTACCAGGCATTATCAAGTAGCAAGGATGATACTTGAATAGCTGTGATAAAATAACTGTTACTTGGTGGTCAGGAATGATGACTCGCATCACATGCACCACACAGGTGCAACATGCACCATCTGCACCATGGAGGTATCAACTCGCACCATCTGCACCATGGAGGCATCAACTCGCACCATCTGCACCGAGGAAGTATCAAATTGCACCATATGCATCACACAGATATCAACTTGCATCAACTGCACCATGGAGGGATCTCACTGTGACATCACCAGACAGGCATTAACATGCACCATATGCACCGTGGAGGTATCAAGTTGCACCATCTGCACCGTGGAGGTATCAACTTGCACCCTCTGCACCATGGAGGTATCAACTCGCACCATCTGCACCATGGAGGTTTCAACTCGCACCATCTGCACCATGTAGGTTTCAACTCGCACCATCTGCACCATGGAGGTTTCAACTCGCACCATCTGCACCGTGGAGGTATCAACATGCACCATCTGCACCATGGAAAGATGTCACTGTACCTGCGCTAGGAAGGGCAGTTGTGTCTTGCACTGCACGCTGCTGACTTCAGGCAGTGTAGGCGGCGCTCTACACGACGATGGTGCGATATGGTGCACTGTCTGTGCACCATCAATGCACTCACCCTTCACCACACTGCTCAGTGTGGCATCATTAATGTGAATGCTGGCTGTGCGTAAAGCTGACCGTTATTTTAAGCAATATTTGCGCTAAATTCTAATAATATTCATCAAAATTGAGGTAAGTTAAATATACTGTGTAATTACAAGCATTTTAGATGTCCGTAGTATTATTCAACTAGGTATTGATATATGATATTATTATTAATGATATGATATTATGATAATAATATGCGTTTAAAAATTACTTTTTAAAAACAACACTTCTGAAGAATTTAGTGTCTTGGATGTTACACATGTACAACGAATATCTAATTTTATTTTCAAACATTAAAAAAATTATTTTTCAAAATTTTTTAAGATATCAACATTTTGTAAATTTTCAAAATTACATGACTCTGTCAACTGATTCATGCATTGTCTCTGATTTTATGCAATTGTGCAAAATTTCAGATCGATTGGAAAGGTCAAATTGTGCATATATGATTTCGGAAGACTTTATTTCTAATTGTCCTTGCCAGGCTATTATTAAGTGGCCATTGGAATTCTAGCCAGAACAGTTATCGCCTCTGACTCTGATTTGAAAATCTTATCTCTTCCGTTAGGAAGAGATAAGATTCACGATGTCCCGCGGTTCAGTCTTTACTTTACTAAAAGGAAACCCCCTCTTTCTAACTAGTTGCTCCCTCCTCAGAATTCGGTAGTAGTGTGCATATTTGTCCTCTATTTTTTAGCACGTTAATTAACCTAATCTAACATAAGCCATCCTAATTTACTATTACAAACGTACCGTCTGGCCGAGTGCTGTATCATTTCATATTAGGCCATACTTTCCTGGCATCGTAGATGTTGGCTCTTTTTTTCTAATTTAATGGTTTGATTTACCATAAAGGTTAATTACTATCGATTCTGCAGTAGGTAATAATTATAAGAGTCTTCGTTGTTGAAGGGATCACATAATTCCGTTGTGAGCTGGACGCTGAGCTGTGTTGGGCTCCTACGGACAGCCATTCCTGTGCTTACTGAGTGCGTTCCTAACCCTGCTGCTCCGCCGTATCTAATAGTTCTCGCCACGCTCTCCCTCATAAGTAACTTGCCCCTTCCCTAGTTAGTCTTCCTAGCTAGTTAATCTACACTCCAACTGTTAGCTACACACCGTCAATAGGTACCGCCTCTTCATTAGTTGAGCAGCATTCACTAGGTACTCCTCGCCCATGTTATGCCCTGCCTACAGGTTCCGTCTTGATGCCAGCACTCGTAATTCCTCATCTTCTATTTACACCCTGTCCACTGTGTGGTGTGTTATCTAGTTCTGCCCCAATCACTAGTTTCTCTGCCCCAACTAGTTTCAACCCACTCACTAGTTTCACTGCACCCACTAGCTTCACAGCACCCACTAGTTCCAACCCACCCACTAGCTTCACAGCACCCACTAGCCTCGCCTCCCCCGCTCACATGAGGTCGGTTGGGGAGCAGATGGGGCAGCCGTAGGGCGTGGCCCACAGGAAGTGGAAGTTGCAGCCGTCGCAGGTGCCGTCGGGGCAGCGCTTGGGCAGCGTCACGGCCCCCTGACCGGACTCCTCCAGCGCGCACCGTACCGTCACCGTACTGCGCCGCCCGTCCTCGCATGCGCGCGTCGACCTGCGACACCGAACAGGTTTAGGGCAGCGCATTCTTGGGGCTCTCCGAACTCTCAACTTGCCTACATGATCATGTAGGCTATTATTGATAGATAATGATTGAAACTTTCTATCCCTTACAACATGCAATGTTGATTTACTCTACCGATGATATTAAAGAGTGCGCGTGCGAGATGATCTGAAATCATAATGATAATAAAGAATGCGAGTTAACGATTATTTGCAACAATGATGATGTATGTTAAACGTTGGATGTTCGCGCTGACTTGCAATACTGATACTATGATAGTAATTGTGTCAAATCACTGTACGAAATCATAACTCACGAGGGCGTCGTGAAAAAGAAGTGAAGGTCTTTCCTGATGGGGTCATGGAACTCGTCGATGACCTTGACCCCGTGGAGGGTCTGGTCAGTGGTGACCCCCAGCAGGTGGTCCCCCAGGGACACGGACTGCGTGGCGAGGGCCCCACCGCCCCCCATGTATCCCCCCTGCCCTCTCTGTCCTCCCTCCCCACCCTCAACCCCTGGCACCAGCGTGGACCGACACACCCGTGCCACCAGCTGGAGGGATTGAGGCCGATTATTCTCAATTATATCACAGAAATCATGTATATTATATATTGGACTAAATCCCAGGGGATGTACCAACAACACTCAATTAAGTACAAGAAACGGACTAAGTTTAAGGAGCGCCCTAAGTGGACGTAGCGGCCAAAGTTCAAGTAGCAGTCCAAGTACACTTAGCGGCCAAGTTAAAAAAGCGGCCCAAGTACACATAGCGGGCGATTTCTCGTCTATTTGTCATTAATAGCCGGCAGTGATTAGCTGACCAAACCAAATCTTTACTATTTTCGATAAATGAAAATGATTCCAGAAAAATGAATTAGACGTGGCGAATCTAAACAGGGATATAATAAACGATACTGAGAGAATTCTGTATGGGAAATGTTACGAGACTAACTGGGCAACACTTGACAACAACACAGCCCTTGTGTGTGAAAGTCTATTTTATATCTATCATGCACATGACAAATTTATCAAAACGTCATTAAATCGCGGTAGTGTGTTTTCATAGTATATACACGGAAATATGTCAAGTATCACGAGAACATCCATCATGTTTTCAACATGTCACAGAGTTCGACATGTAACACTGACCGTGCTCGTCTTCCCCTCTATGTTGACCGACACATTGTTGGAACATGTGACTGTAGTGTCGCCACATAAAGATATGTTGAACATGTGGAAGTACTTCGTGCCTGATGACGTGAACAGTGTTGAACCCTGCATGATGCGTGGGCTGCAACATGAAAAGCAACATTAGTAATGGATAAGCTTGAATGTGATTGAATCAAGTCACGAAAAGTTCAAGAATCGACAACAGGCCATGGGCCTATTTCTTCAGTGCCGACACTTCTATTCTATTCTTAAAATGGTGTAATTGGCAGCAGATATTGCCTATACGAAAAAAGTTGCTATTTAGCTGCCATGTTTTTTTTTAGTTGGTAGAAAAAAATGATACAATGTTATTAAAACCTCTCTATTGCTGTACAACGTATCTGGTGAGCTACATAGACACATTATTATTATACAGAGTGGAATTCTAAAAATGGTGGTTAAGAGATAAAATGTAAGGGTCACTTTCTCGTCCGCTCTAAAAATGTTGGTCGAGTTCTACTAAATGAATAGTCTAATTTCAGTGATCCGATACGAAACATGAATCCGGTCACATATAACCCTTATCGTAAATCCCACCCTTGCTACGTGCCACTAGCAAGCATACAGATACAGGTGCACAGAGTACAAAAATAAATTGCCTAGGAAAAGTCTTTTCGTAAAGTTGAAGTTTGGCCGTAACATAATTTTGAACTATGTAGACCTGCGGTGAGAGCATTGATGTTTAATTTCTGAAATTAGAAGGCAGAGTTCATAACACGTTGACTCCGAAGTGGTATGCGTACCATGAAGTATATTTCTCCAGGAAGTAGTGAGTAGAAAAAAATTCATTGGAGCACAAAAGTGAAATAATAGTACAAGATGTAGCAATCGGAGTCAACGTGCTTAGAGTACCAAAATGCCGGTCCTGCTACGACTTAGCCGATAAGGAGAAACGCGACTAATAGGCTGTAACTCTTGACCACGGGTTATGAAAATGAGCACGAGAAGCTGTTATGTGTAATTTGCTAAGCGAAAGAGACCAGTTTTATTTTAAATCTGTTTGGCTTCATTTAACGTATTAATGGAAGCAATTAATTCACAGCCTCCCATGTGAACCTTGTGCTTTAAAATTAAATGGTAAACAATGAGACATTCATCATTCGGCCAAGAGAACCGTTTTACCGCATTGATGGAAAACGGTTGTAGGTTAAATAATATGAAAAATACCCTGCGTGTCCCAAAGGAAGTTAAAGGATGTGTATTTAATTTAATGATTTTGCGTAGCGAATTGGCGAAGTCGAAACGATGCAATTAATTCAGTGCAGACTGAGCGCCAGCAATCGTCCATGCGCCCGCTCTTGAGTCGAAGCGGTTGTATTGTGAAATCTGGTAATATTTCCACACAACTAATTTCAATATCACTTTTCTGTGGTTTACAATTATTGTTAATGTGAATTTTGTCAGAGAATCAACTTTCATAGAGGGGAAGATGAAAAGTATTATATCGCTCTCTTATACACATCT